CTTTTTGTGCGCTTAGTGCGTGGCGTGATACCGCGTTGTTGGCGGTTGAATCGGCGCGTCGCGTGCGGCGCGGATTTGTGGATGCGCCTTTATACGTTGGCGAGTGGCGGTGAGCGTCATCGCCGTGGGCGGTGTGCCCTGGCCCTCGGCTCTTGATTGCGCGTGGGGTTAGGGGCGCCATCGTCGGCGGCGGTTTCTGACGGTGCGAGCGATGGTGTATCGCCATATTGTGGCGACGCGTAGCGCGTTGGACTCCCGGTGCGTGTGTTTCTACGGGAGACGTGGCGGGTTTCCGCGGCCGTCTGGGGTTGTTAAGCCCGGGGCGGGATTGCGTGATTGTGTGTTTTGCGCCTTGGCGCATGTGTCTGTGGGCGAGTTGCCCGTTTGTGTGTAAATCCGTGTGGTCGCGCGGTTTCCTGCTCAGTTGGCTCGCGGGGTGTGCCCGTGCATTGACGGAACTAGAGTGACGTGTGAATATTGTAAATATTGTATATATTTGTACTATACCGTGTCGTAATTAGTGACGGGCAAAGGTAAGGTTGTATGCCCGTCATTAACTTGTCTGTTCTAGATAGACGGGTGCGCTTGCCTTTCTCAGGGCACGAACGGGGAAATAAAATTGCTGCCCTGCCTCCCTATACAACGGTGGAAGATTATATTTTACTGTGTGTTCCCTGCCCTTTTTCAGGAAAATGCCTTGGGCGTCGCAAATGCGGGGGGGCAGTTTTTCCCGCGTGTGTAGTGTTCGTGACGGTTTGAGGTTAGGCGCGTCGCGACTTGAGAGGAGGGCTTAGAATTCCCTACGGACTCACTCGTGGATATTGACCGGGGTGTAGCGGGTGGCTGCTTCCGCGGGATGCGCGTCGAGGGCCCACGTAATTGGCGCGGGGGAGAGCGGGGGTGCGTGTTTGCGATTTCCGTTCTCCCTAACCCCTTGTGGCTCTTCTCTGGTTTGAGGGAATTGGAGTCTCCGCGTTCTGGGATAGACTCGGTTCTGTTTTGGGGCTAGGGTCGTGCTCGCTTGCTGACGGGAACGGGGTGGCCGGTTGTGATTGAGCTGTGCCTTTCGGCTCTGGCCCTGAGCATCGGGACTCCACATTGATGTAGCTTCGGGCTAACATTATTGAGGTTGGAGAGACGCGCTTCTACTTGGGGGCGGTTCCTCTCGTGTCGCTCGTTGCCCCGTGGATTGTGCGGTGTCGGTACGTCTGCGGTGTTTTGACGGTTATGAGGTTAAGATAGCTTCGCGTCGGGGAATAGCGGTTGAGGTTAGGTGCTCCTTCACTTGACGTCCGACGACAGCGAGGCGCATCATAGGAGGCTTTTGACAGGCGGGGTGGTGTCCCCCTGTCACATGCGAGACAGCGAATGCGGTAGGGAGCACTGAGGGGACCGGTGGTCGTTTGTCCGAAGTCTCCCTCCGCTGTCGCGGTGCCGCTCTTAGCGGAAATAGATACGGACAGTCAGTAAGTTTGATCGGCGCGTGCCTTGGCCGCGGGTGAAGGCGGGTCTGTTCTTTTGAGGGGATGTCACTCGAGTTAGCTTGCGATAGGAGGGCATACGCGGGGACTTAAGAGCTGCGCTTGCATTAATAGAGCGGGTAATCTTGAGGGGGCGCGCTACGTAGTTGCGTCGGGATCCGTGGCGTGCTTCTATACGGATTGGAGGATTGATTCAGGTCTGTTCTTTTGCGGTGCCGCCACTGACGGAGAGCGGCTTGCAGAGATACTCTGTATTGACTTTGCGTACTCGAAAGCGGTAGCTTTTTAGTGAAGCTCTAAAGATTAGTACCGGTATTGCGCCGAGTACTACGGACGCTTATTCTTAAATCTGAGTCACTGCCGTATATGGGGGGGGGGCGCGTCACATTGCGGATATAAACGTGATGTACTGTATAATTTAACCCCGTGGGCGCGTTGCGTTATAGACGCGATTTAAAACCTAACTTTGTATATAGTTTTGTATATAGTGGGTACGATAATGGAGGTAGATACGATGATGTTTTAAAATAAATATCACTATCGTCTATATATAAGTTTGAAGTCGTGAGCGCTGTGTTGTGGGTGTACTAGAGCGGCCCTCTGTGTGGTCGAGCTCTGCTCTCACTGAGGTCCGCTTCTGGAGCCGAAATGATTGCATGCGTGTCATCTTAACTCAGACTATGTACATAGTTGACGCGTTACACGATATAGATGCGAGGTTTATGCGTTAACATAAGCGTGTACTGTATATATATATTGTATATATAGAGTGTTAGGAATCTGCAGTGGTACGTATGACACTGTGGAATCTCTGTCCCAGCCTAAGGCGTTAGGCACTGTGTCGAGGGGCATGGCCACAGGGACAATAATTTTGTGGTCGCAAACGGTCCCGGTAGGGTACCGGCCGCCCCCCTACTGTAATGCAGGCTTATGTGGAGGATCCGGGTGTCCTCCACATTGACCATATATTTCGCCCGGTTATTTACGAGGGGGTACCTGGGTGCTTTCGCGGTGTTCGCGGGGGCGCCCTTTCTGGACTGATTTTTCGGTACGACCGCCTGACCACGGGCTGCGATTCAAGGTACAATGGTTTATGGCAACGGACTGTCCCTGGACCTCGAGTTTTTGTGCCGTGTAGCCCATATATGGCGTCATGAGCACATCAGAGAATATCTTACAGTCGGTGATTCGGAACACCGACGACCGGCACGGCGTTTCCCCGGACGAACTCCTCGGGACTGGTAACCCCGAGGAGCTAACCGTGTCGATAATATGTAAGGGGACAAAAGAAGACGTAACGGAGCGATCGGCGGTCTTGCACGCCAAAGAAGAGGACGGCTCTACAGCAGAGATGGTGAGCTGCGAGGAAGCGGTGGATCCATTGGAGATCCCTTCGCCCTCGTCTGCCATAGATGAGGTGGTTGCTGCTGGAGACATTGACCACCTTCCAGGTTTTGGTGAAATAGAGGGATTGAGAGCTGCGGCAATAGAAACCTCAACTAAAAGAAAGAGGGATTCCCCGGAGTCGCCTGAGGTGGTCGCGTCGGAGGCGATCTCCTCGGAACCTGGGGTGGTCAGGAGGAGCTCAAGGCTCCGCCCACTGCTGATGTCGGATGATTCCCCGCTTGAGGGAGGGACGGGCGGCTGCCCTGCGGATGAACCAATAGTGATTTCCTCTGAGGACTGTCCTGCGGACGATTCATCGCCCAGACGGAGGAACCGGAGGCCCAAGAGGAAGAAGCTCAGGAGAGGTAGAAATCCGGCCCAGGCTAAACCAGTTCTCGATTCAGGAATTCCTGATCTAAACAAGGAGTCCAAAGTGGACTATGCGTCCATGTCCGCCGCGGAAATAGCGAGTACGGCCAGGGTATGGCTGGAAGATATAGAATCAATGCGCCTTAGGAGCGGGAAGACCCAGGGCACATTCTCGAAAGCGATTAGGCTTCGCGTCGTGGCTCTTAAAGAAGTGATCACGGTTTTTTCCGAGAGGGTGGAAGATGCCGGAGACGTTCCCTTTCTACGGAAGCGGAACGAAGATCTGTCGAACCAGTTGAGGACAGCCAGGAGAACAGAGAGCCAACTCAAGGCCGAGTTGGAAGACTCACAGAAGCGCGTCTCCGCACTGAGCGCGGAACTCAATGCATTGAGGGATAAGATCGGATCGAAATCCACCTCGCGGGATGACAACTCCATGGCGCCACCCGTGGTGAAGCAGCAATCGGCCCTGAAGAAGAAGCCTCGTGCTACCCGTAAACCAGGGTCTCGCACTCTAATTAAGGCCGCTGCCTCCACGGATCTAGGCGAGTCCACGGATCAATCGACCAACGAAAGGCTGGAGGGCTATGAGGCTAGCCTGACGAAGGAAATGAGCATTCTCATGCAGTTGCAGAGGGATATTGCGGCCCTGAAGGAGAGGGTCTTTAATGATGGTCCACCACCCATGGAGAAGGGTGTTCCAAAGATCATAGAGGACATCCAAATCCGTCCCCCTCTGAGAGCGAACAGTATGGCTCTGCTCACGGATTCTGAAGTCGTGGTGTCCTCGGACGGACAAAACCCGGGCTCTTACCGGGCGGCGGTCCTGCGCCACAGGGCTAAAAGGAAAGGCGGGCCTGGCCCGTCTAGAGAAACCGCCCCTTCTGCTTCTGTTACTACGGCAGGGAAAGTGGAACGAAGAGATGGACGCTCTGGCCCGCGGGTGGATGGGTCCAGAGCGAAGATTCAAAGAGAGGATGGCCCTCCGCGTCGCCGCGCTCCCAGGACAGCGGCGGTGGCTCTTAGGTCTGCAACCGAAGAGGTAACGCATGCGGACCTACTCAAGAAGGCCAAACAGAGGATCAACCTCGGGGATATGGGGATTACGAAACCCCGTATCAGGGTTGCCGCTAATGGCGGCTTCCTGATTGAAATCTCCGGTGAGGATGGTCCTACTAAGGCGGACGTTCTCGCGAGGAGACTGAGGGATTCCCTCGGTAATGGAGCAGTCGTGTCGCGCCCGGTAGCGAAGGGGGAGCTCAGGGTCTCCGGGCTGGATGGATCCATATCCATGGATGAGCTGAGGGCGGCCTTGGCCGACAATGGCGGGTGCACAGCTGGAGAAATTAAAATCGGTAATTTCAGAAGATCCCCGGGTGGCCTCTGTTCAACCTGGATACAGTGCCCCCTGGCAGCGGCCAATCGCCTAGCTGCGGCTGGCGCGGTTAACGTGGGATGGACCATGGCGAGAATTGTGCTTCTCAGGTCGCGCCCAGTACAATGCTTTCGTTGCTGGGACTTCGGGCATGTGAGGGGCGGCTGCCGGTCTGCAACGGATAGGGGGCAGGCTTGTTTTAACTGTGGGAAAGAGGGCCACGCATTGAGAGAGTGTTCGCTTCCCTCATGCTGTGTGGTATGCCGGGATAAGGGCCTCAACCCGGAGCATAGGTTGAGTACGGTCAACTGTACCAGCGCGCAGCCCCGCAATCGGAGAGCGGGACCCACCCGATTGGACGATGGTGCTTAGATTTTATCAGGTCAACATCAATCATTGCCGGGCATCCCAGGACCTGATGATGCACTGTACACTCGAGAACGGTATAGGCATCTGCTGCCTTGCGGAGCCATGGCGGGTCCCTGCGGACAGCGCACACCGGGTCTCGAGCCTGGACTCAACTGCGGCCATACTGTGGAACCCGGCACTTGCCGGGCCCGGTTGTGTCGTGTTCTATCGATCCAACAACATTATCGGAGTGAGGTTCGGTAACGTGCGGGTTATATCAGTGTATATGTTCGGTAGCGCGGTTGATTTGCGAAAATCGGACGAGGGAGACCGAATGGACGGAAGACAAAATGAAGCAAGACTCCAATTTATAACCAAGTCTAGTACCAATAATTATTTCAATAAATCAAGCGGCAAACCACCCCTCCGCATGTAAATTGTCCGTTAAAAGTAACGGTATCTTTTCGTTTGGCGGTGACCCCGGATTGCCAAAATTGATTGGCAATCCGAGGGAATCCGCGTCCGTTGGCGCGCGCCTGATGGGCGCGTTTGAGCTACGGTGAGCGTGATTGGCGCTCGCGTTTGTATATCAGCCGGGCATCGGTCGTCGGCACGCTCTCGTCCACGCGGCGACAACGCGAGCGTCAGCGAATTTGTTTGGGAAGGCGATGACAAGGTGTACAGCATGTGCTTTTTCGGTGTCCTCGAGCCAAGATTGACAACAATATTTGCGGCACTAACATTCTTACTGGAACGTTTTCGAGGCTCATGCTGTACACCTTGGATTATCGTTACAAGGCGTATAATTTTAATCGATTTGACAATTGTCCGATCTCGAACATTCCCGCCCGCCTCGTCATTATCGTGACGAAACGAGCAGGTTCGGTTGGCGTTCTCGTAGATGGCGCGTCACCTTTGACTGGTAGGCGCTATCGAGCAGCGCGGTGGATCGCGGCGTGGGGAGGTATCGCGCAGGACCGGCCCGCCGAAACGCGATATGTCATAAGTTAATGATTGCAATCATTCAACGCAGAATGTCCGTGCGGGCCATTTCCGCGTTTCGGTGTTGAGGCTTAACGGCGCGTTGCTGCGTGAGTGCAGCGGAACTTCGCGAAGTGATTCAAGTGGTGTCGAAGTGCAGTGACACGGTTGCAACGATACCGAAGGTGCAGTTTTGCGGTATCGCCCCAGAAATTGAATGGCGAAGCGAGACGTGGATGCAATCGCGACAAGAGTGTGACGCGGGGACGAGACAACGCATTTTTTTTGTTTCCGGCGCAAATTACTTGTCCTCGGAGGGAGTGGTAGACTCGCGATCTCCCGGCAGCAGCACCAACTTGACGAGGGGTCGCACCAGCTCCGTGGATGCCGTGCGAACCGTCGCGACGCGGGTAACGCCATCCTCGCCTGGATGCAACTTGGTGATGCGGGCCAAAGGCCATCGGCTTGGTGGCGTCGTCTCGGTGCGGACGATGCACAGGTCACCGATGCGAGGGACGACATCCTTGGTTAACCATTTTGGACGCGCTGCCAGGGAGTGGATGTACTCGCGCGACCACCTTTGCCAAAAGTGGTCGCGCATCTTTTGCAAATGCTGCCACCGGGAGAGCGTATTGTCTGCCCTTTCGTGCAGCGACGGCTCTGGAACGGCCAGCAGTGGGGCGCTCAGAAGGTGCCCAGGCGTCAGGGCGGAGATGTCGTCCGGGCAGTCTGAGAGTGCTTGGAGTGGCCGGGAGTTGAGGCAGGCTTCCACTTGAGCAAGGAGAGTGCTCATCTCCTCAAACGTGAGGGTGGTGTCGCCGATTACTCGACGAAGGTGAAATTTCGTCGATTTTACGGCTGCCTCCCATAGGCCTCCAAAATGCGGCGCGGACGGCGGGTTGAAATGCCACCGGATGCCCTGGGTAGCGACGTGTGTTGCGATGCGACAGCCGTCAGATGAAGACGCTCGAAGCAACTCCTTGAGTTGCCGATCGGCGCCGACGAAGTTTGTGCCGCAGTCTGAAAAAATGTCAGTACAGAGGCCCCGGCGCGAAGTGAACCGGCGCAGTGCGGCCAGGAAAGCGTCGGTCGAATAATCCGACACCACCTCGATGTGCACGGCTTTGGAGCTTAGGCACACAAAAATGGCAATGAATGCCTTGTGTGCTCGGTGACCTCGCCCCTTGGTCGTGCGGACAAAAATCGGGCCGGCGTAGTCAATGCCGGTCCGGCTAAACGGCCGCGCTGGAGTCACGCGTTCCCTCGGAAGATCGCCCATCGGTGGTTGTAGCGTGACTGCTCGCCATCGGGTGCAAGTGACGCACCGATGAAGCCAGCGTTTCACGACGGTTCGGCCCTGCGGAATCCAGAAGCGGAGTCGGAGCACGCCAAGCGTCAGCTGAACTCCCCCGTGCAGAGTGCGTCGGTGATGAGCCTCCACGAGCAGCCTTGTGAGGTGGGACCATGGAGGTAAAATCATCGGGTGCCTTTCGTCGAGTGGTAGCCCCGAGTGCCGCAGTCGTCCTCCCACCCTGAGCACCCCGTTGTCACTCAGGTAAGGATTCAATTTTATTAGAGTGCTCCTTTTCGATAGTGCGCGGTAGTCCTCGGTGGTCGCGACCTCGGTAGGGTAGTGCAGAGCCTGCACCACTCGGAGCCACCGCACAAGAGCCGCGTCGAGTTCGTCGGCACGTAGTGTTCGCGTCGGTTGACTCGCTCGAGCCCTCCTCGAGACGTTTCGCCAACGCAGGCACCAGGCGGTCACCCTCAGGAGCCGGTGCAACTCGGAGAACCGGAGGAGGAGCTCCGGCTCTTCGACGGTCTCGGTAACGGCACCGTGAGCAGTGGCTCTCCCCTCGGGGATCTCCCGGGGAGTGATGTCAGGGGTCTCCATCGGCCAGCTCGCTCGGTCCTCGTGCAGCCAGGAAGGGCCAGACCACCACAGAGGATGGTGTAAGAGGTCGGTTGGCGATATCCCCCGGGAAGCGCAGTCGGCAGGATTCTCTCGGCCCGGGACGTGACGCCATTGAGCCTCGGGAAGGAGCTCTTGGATAAGGGCCACTCGGTTGGCCACATACGTCTTCCATCGTGACGCGTGGCTTTGGATCCAGTTCAGCGCTACCTGCGAGTCTGACCAGAGAAATACGGGAGCTGCGGACAGATCTAAGGTTGACTGAGAGTGTGCCACGAGTTTGGTGAGCAGGGCAGCGGCGCAGAGCTCTAGACGCGGCAGAGTGACGGGCTTGAGCGGGGCAACTTTGCTTTTGGCGGTGAGCAACTGCACGCGGACTCCGGTGCCATGCTCGAGGCGGAGGTAGACCGCCGCTGCGTACGTCCGCTCAGAAGCATCGGCGAAGCCGTGGAGCTCAGCGCGTGAACTCTTGGCGCCACTGCCGAGCCAGCGGTTCACGCGCAGACCCTCGAGGAGTGGCAGCTCCTTGAAGAGGCTCTCCCATTGGAGCGTGTCCACTGACGGAAGTGGCGTGTCCCAATCCAGCCGCTTCATCCAGGTTGCCTGAATTAGAATTTTCGCTCGGATGCTGACGGGTGTCAACCATCCGAGCGGATCGAAGAGTTGCGCTGTCTCCGCGAGAACGCTCCTCTTTGTGTAACTGGCAATGACACGAGGCTGTATCGCGAACGCGAAGGTGTCGTCGTTGGGATGCCATCGCAGTCCCAACGTGGAGTGTATCTCGTGCTCCCAAGAGTGTGGTTTGGTCAGGCGGTGTTCCAGTGGAATTCCGGCGAGAATCTGAGGGCAGTTCGCGGCCCATTTGCGGAGTGGAAACCCGCCCGCCATGCAGAGCTGGTGGAGCTGGGTCTGAACCGCGATCGCGTCGGACTTTTCGTGAGCGCCGGTGACTACATCGTCGACGTAGCAGTCGCGGCGCAGGACCGCGGACCCGCGCGGAAAATTGTCTTCCTCGTCGACCGCGAGCTGCCGCAGCGTGCGGATGGCCAGGAACGGCGCGCACGCGAGGCCATACGTTACCGTATTGAGACGGAACTCGCGAACCGGCTCGACAGTTGAGTGCCGCCAGAGTATCCGCTGGAAATCGCGGTCTTCGGGAGCGACGAGGATCTGGCGGTACATTTTTTCGATATCGGCGATGATGGCGTAGCGGTGCCACCGCCAGCGCATCAGGACGTCAGCGAGGGCTGGCAGCAGGTTCGCTCCCGTGAGAAGATGGACGTTGAGCGAGTCGCCGGACTTGGTTCGCTGCGACCCGTTAAACACCACCCTCAGCTTCGTGGTGGCGCTTGACTCCCTAAGCACTCCGTGATGCGGAAGGTAGCACTTACCGTTGGTGGGAGGATTAGACGCGCCGGTCACGCGTGTCATGTGCTGAACGTTTTCGTACTCCCTTAGGAAGGAGCGGTAGAGTTCTCCGAACCGCGTGTCCCGGCTGCCCTTCCGCTCGACGGCGTGCAGCAGGCGTTCCGCAGCCTTGCGGGTCTCCGTGAGTGTTGGCGGCGGAGAGGCAAATGGCAGCCTCACCATGTACCGCCCAGTGGAGGTGCGAGTATGAGTGCGATTGAAAAACTCCTCGCACAACTGCTCGTCAGGAATGAGGGCGATGGGAGCGGAGGGTTCCTGCTCCTGCTCCCAAAAGCTCTGCACGAGCGAGGAAAGCTCGTGCTCGGCCGAGCACTGCAGCGAAGTGCGCGGCTTCGAACCTGAAGAGTCGACGCATCCGCCGGACAGTATCCATCCAAGTGACGTGCGTTGAGCGACGGGAGCCAAAGGACCTCCCTTTCGAAGACCCTCCTCAAGGATGATGGAGCATACTTCAGCGCCAAGGAGAAGCTCGATCGGATCGTTGGCTCGGAACCTTGGATCGGCCAACTGCAGCCCCTTAACGTGAGGCCACGGGGCTCCAACCTGCGTGCTTCCACCCTGGTAGAGCGAGAGACGAGGAAGAACGAAGGCGACAGCGGTCAACTTGGTCTCGTTGACGGTGGACGCGAGGCTGAGCGAGACTCTTCCTCGGCTCGTCCCGGTGCGGGTTCCCCCGATGCCAACGATCGACACCGAGGACTTGGACCGCGGCAGGTGCAGGCGTTGCACTAGGGACTCGGAGATGAGTGAGACCTCCGAGCCCTGATCGATCAACGCTCGAATGGTGTGCGGGGCTCCGTGGCGGTCGGCGACGTTCACTCTCGCGGTCGCGAGGAGAATCGCCCGAGTATCGTCCTCCCGTTGCACAGCTGAGAGAGCGTTGGCCTCGGCGGGTTGGGCAGTGGTGTACGCGTCGTGAAGCATTGAGTGGTGCCGCGCCTTGCACGTGCTGCAAGTTTTAGCGGACTGACACTTTGCGAACAAGTGAGGACCGAGGCAATTGTAGCACAATCGATGCGTTTCCGCGACGGCTTTGCGGTCGGTCGCGGACTTCGTCTTGAATTCGTCGCACATCATCACGTTGTGCTTGCCCTTGCACAAGACACACTGTGCCGACGTGGCGACCCCCTTGGAGTGATGAGACTTCGCGGATCGCGACGGGTCTCCGGATGGTTTGGGGTTTGGCGTCCTGGCCGCTTTGAGCGTGAGAGCTCGTCGCGTGACGAACTTCATCAGCGTTTCATGACTCGGGACATCGTTCGACTCGCTGGTGAATGCGGCCCACTCGAGGCGAGTTCTAGGGTCGAACAAGTCGGTTACGAGGTGGTTCAAAAGATCGTAACCGTGTGACTCGATGGGCCGACCGATGCCCTCCTGTCCACTTACGCTTGTTACGGCGTTGAAGACGCGATTCAGTTCTTCCGCGGTGTCGCTCTTCATTTTAGGAACCGCGGTAAAGGCAGAGAAGTTGGAGCGAGCCACTTCCTTCTCGTTTTCATAATGCTCCGTCAGCATCGACCACGCGCGCGGATAGTTTTCCCCGATCACGGCTAACGGACGAATATATCTTTTCAGCTGCTCCCTCAAGGCAGTGCCGCAGGTGGTGGAACTTCTCAATGTTCGAGAGGGACTTGTGTTTTCCGACGATCGACATGAAGCTGTCCCGGAAGGTGGGCCAGTCTTCGAACGCGCCCGAAAACGATTTGACTCGGAGTCTCGGTAAGGCCGATGCGGAGGAAACGCCGCCGGGCTCCTTGCTCGAAGCGGCGCTTGTCGGATTCGCGGCTTGGAGCTTTATCGCGTATTCGTTCAATGCGCTTCGCTCTTGCACGTACGTAATTTCAATGGTGTCGAAAAATTGTGTTTGGTTGTACTCACTCTCATCAAATTCTTCTTTGAAGAGTGTTCGAATGGTTTCGTGCTGTGCTTCGACCTTAGCCCATATTTTGTCGAGGAATTCAAGGCGTGTTTCAACAGCGTGGAGCGTGATGTTCTCCGCGCCCATCTTCTTCAAGTTGGTGACCGAACGGGCGATGCGACCATGAGCGTCGCTTTGCGCCGTTAGCAAGGCGTTTAAGTCCATGTTAATTGATTTCCCTTTTTCAGGCATTCAAACAGGCGGTGCACTCCCGAGTTAGCGGTTGCCGGTGGAGAATCCGGCTCGAAGGACCATTAATGTTCGGTAGCGCGGTTGATTTGCGAAAATCGGACGAGGGAGACCGAATGGACGGAAGACAAAATGAAGCAAGACTCCAATTTATAACCAAGTCTAGTACCAATAATTATTTCAATAAATCAAATCACAGTCCAAAGAAAAGCGGTAGTGCGGATTCAAGTGTCTTTGTTCACAGAAAGGCGCGAGCGGTACAGATGGTCTTATGACGAAGCGGCGAGGCAAACGACAAAGCTACTGTGTGGCGGAGGAGTGCGGCCGACTCCTTTTATAAGAGCGGCAAACCACCCCTCCGCATGTAAATTGTCCGTTAAAAGTAACGGTATCTTTTCGTTTGGCGGTGACCCCGGATTGCCAAAATTGATTGGCAATCCGAGGGAATCCGCGTCCGTTGGCGCGCGCCTGATGGGCGCGTTTGAGCTACGGTGAGCGTGATTGGCGCTCGCGTTTGTATATCGGCCGGGCATCGGTCGTCGGCACGCTCTCGTCCACGCGGCGACAACGCGAGCGTCAGCGAATTTGTTTGGGAAGGCGATGACAAGGTGTACAGCATGTGCTTTTTCGGTGTCCTCGAGCCAAGATTGACAACAATATTTGCGGCACTAACATTCTTACTGGAACGTTTTCGAGGCTCATGCTGTACACCTTGGATTATCGTTACAAGGCGTATAATTTTAATCGATTTGACAATTGTCCGATCTCGAACAGTATATATCTCCAAATATCAGAATTGGAAGATTCTTGGAGATCACTGACAGACTGTCGGACGCGGTGGCCGCGGCCCGTGGTCCCGTCGTTGCTTGTGGGGATTTCAACGCCAAATCGGCATATTGGGGGTCCCCCATTGGCGATCGCAGGGGGGAAATACTTCTTGGTCTGGCGGCCCAACACGATTTAGTCCTTTGTAATAAAGGAAATAGGCCAACCTGTGTGCGCCCTCAGGGTTCCTCCATAGTCGACCTGACGTGGGCTTCGGCCCAGTACATAGACCGAATCAGAAATTGGAGTGTGATTTCCGATATGGAGACATTGTCAGACCATAGATTGATCACGTTTACGTTTGTTAATAATGTAAATAGTATAAATAATGCGAACATTAGCCTTAAGAAGTTGTACCCCCGTTGGTCGATAAAGGGCCTAAACGCGGAGCTTTTGGCGTCCACATTTGAGCTCCTCAGTTCCGGGCTCGACGCTGATCGTGCGCCGGACTGTTTGGCCGAGGATATAGGAGCATGGATCTCCGACGCATGTGACGTTGCAGCTAGAAGGACCGGTACTCGCCCACCAAAGAAGGCGGCATACTGGTGGAACGAGGAAGTTGCCGCCGCTAGGAGAGCATGTGTCGCGGCCCGCAGAAAATACACGAGGGCGAGAACGGCGAGTAGACTGAACGACGAGCTGGACCGAGCCTACCGAGTCGCGAAGAGAACGTTGAGGAAGGAGATCCACAGCGCAAAATCCAATGCGTGGAAGGAGCTCCTGCTGGGGGTGGAGGAGGATTTGTGGGGCCTACCATACAAAATGGTGATGGGCCGTCTTCGGAGGACCTCCCCTGCTCTCTCGGAGACCTTGAGCCCGGACGTGCTCGAGGAACTAATGGACTCGCTGTTCCCGGAGGGGGAGACTCACACCCCCGAGGAGATTTGGTGTAACTGGAACGGAGAGCGCTTCATGGCCGGGGACCATGTGAGTGCCCTGGATGTCTTCCGAGCAATTAGACAAGATAGGAAGAAGTCGAACCCTGCCCCGGGCCCGAATGGTGTTGAAGCGGTTATATGGAGGAAAGCCGCGGATATCGCTTCTAACAGATTGGCTGTGGTCTACACGGCTTGCTTAAGAGCGGGAATTTTCCCGGGGAAATGGAAGAGGGCCAGGCTCGTGTTGATTCCCAAGGAGTCGGTTGGTCCTCAAGTTAAGGCACGTCCCATATGCCTACTCGACGAGGTTGGCAAAACCTTTGAAAGGGTCATTGTGGCAAGATTAAAAGCTTACATGGATGAGTCGGCGGGTGCACGGCTCTCTCCCCTCCAATTCGGCTTCAGAGAGGGGAGCTCCATCGTGGACGCTCTTGATGCAGTACTTGACGCCGTACATAAGGGGCTTGACAGGAACGGCTTTGCTATAGCTGTTAGCTTAGACATCAAGAATGCGTTCAATTCGCTCCCGTGGGGGACGATCCGGTGGTCCCTGGAGCGTAAGGGATTCCCGGACTACCTCTGGCGAATCATAGATAGTTACCTCCATCAGAGATCCGTGGAGTTTGGCACCTGCGATGGTACAATTGCCCGTAGAGACATTACGTGTGGGGTTCCGCAGGGCTCCGTACTTGGGCCGCTTTTATGGAACATCGCCTTTAATTACATCTTAGAGGCAAGGGCGAAGTACGGTTGCGCGGTGTTTTGTTATGCGGACGATACAATGATCATAAGGACTGCTAAGACTATAGAAGTGATGCGCTCGCGAGTGAACGACCAAGTGACAATGGTGCTCCGTCGGCTAGACTCGCTCGGCCTGACGGTGGCGCCGGATAAAACCAGGGCGGTGCTCTTTAGAAGGGCAAGAGTGCGTATCCCTCAGGAGCCTATCCTGCGGGTGAGAAACAGCTTGATCGAAGTCTCCCCCTGGATGAAGTATCTGGGGGTGATTCTCGATTCACGTCTGACGTTTGACGAGCATTTTAAGCAGGTTTGTGGTAGGGCCGTCAGGGTGACCAGAGCGCTGAGTCGCCTGATGCCGAACCTGAGGGGCCCCCGCGAAAACAAGCGTAAGCTTTATGCCAACGTGGTGGCATCAGTGGCCCTTTATGGAGCTCCAATCTGGTCGGACGCCCTGTGTGCCTCTAGGAGGAGCCAGACGTTATTTCGTGCGACACAGAGACCTGTGGCGATAAGGGTCTGTGCGGCGTACAGAACCGTTTCATTCGACGCGGCCACCCTAATCTCAAGACAGATCCCATGGTGGCTGATCGCGTGTGAGAGATCCCGCATGTATGATAGGCTGTGTGACCTGCGAGAGCTTGGTCTGGCGAATAGGGATGCCATCCAGGACATTAGGCACGAAGAGCGCATCCTGACAATGAGGCAGTGGCGACTTTATATGGACAATGATGACCTGCCTGGTGTGTGGACGAGAGCGGCCATTGTCCCCGTCTGGTCGCTGTGGATGGACCGGCAATGGGGGAGGGTTCACTTCCACCTCACTCAAATAATGACGGGCCATGGCTGTTTTGGGGCCTTTTTACATAAAATTGGCAAAATCAATGATCCGTTTTGCCCACACTGTGGTGCGGCGGAACACTCCGCCTTACATACTTTGGCCGTGTGTCCAGCTTGGGAAATAGAGAGAGAAGAGCTCCTGGTGGCCCTGGGCGTTCCGGAGCTATCATTGGTGCTGGTGGTGGAGACGATCCTCACGAGCAAGGAGAGGTGGGCCGCCTTCTCAAGGTTCTGCGCGACTGTCATGTTGGCCAAGGAGGACGCCGAGCGGGCTCGAGAGGCCAACAGGGGAGGCAATCCAGATGAGCGGCAGGACTTATTTTAGGTCTGGACACTGATGAGGAATTAATTAATTCGGGTTCAGGTTGTACGTACCCCGATATTGAGGTAGGGCTGCGTGTGAGGCCTGCGTGGCCCTTTATCTACACATGAATTTTGTTAAATGCGTTAGTGACTCCAAGTGCGTGCGATCTATGTAACTTATAACTTATAGTGGTTTTCTGTTACACGGTCGCGTTATTGTCGGTCCTGCTCGTGTACATAGATGTAGATGTTAATGTAATGGTAGCAGGTATGTGGTTGTCCTAATGGGGGGAGGCACCTAGCCCTTTACTCTATTATAGGGGGTTATTATCTGAATTTACATCTGTCTAGAGTGTCTATTGTGGCGTGGACCACCCACTCCGCCGTCCTAAGGAGAGGAATGAATGAGATGTGTTCCATCGGGTATGAAAGGTTAAATGTACTTGTTAATTATTATTATTATTTATTTATTATTTGTTTATGAGCGTATGGTTAGGACGGTGGGCGTGTCGTAAGCCGCCTGTGGCTGGAGGCTATAAAGCCTGTCACTGTCGGGCGGGTCACTTCTGACGTAATGCCCTCGACGGGTCTGCCGGGGTGACTCTCCTATAGTGCGGAGGGGGGGTCCAAGGAGAGGGGTTTTTTAGCCTGGTATACCCGCTTCACGGGTGAGTCCGGGCATATCCACGGGTTCGGCTGCCCGTGTTGAATGCATAAAGCATTTTTCCCCTACTCTCGAGAAAAAAAAATGATGCGCGGATTCCGCATGTCTTATAATATTTGATAACGGGCCGCACGAAAAATTTTTAGTGCATACGGTACAGTGAAAAAGGCTATCATCTAAAGGTACTTTTTGTATCCAAGATTTAAATCGCTCATCGCTAATATTACATTAAAGAAAAAAGTAAAGCCAAGCTTCTGAAAAGCTTCGCTTTACTTTTTTCTTTAATGTATCAGGCGTTTCCATGTCAAGGTGGAAATATAGCAGAACAAAGAATATTAAATGACTGTGATAAACAGAAGTAATCCACTATAGCGACTATTAGTTACAATTAAGAAAAATGTGAAACAGTACAATATTTATCTAATTCTATTATCCCAGAATATATTATAAAATAGCATCACCTGATGTTCACGGAACGAGGATTCCTCTGACCGAGAGCACTGTTCAAGTTACACACTTATTCGCGAGTCACAAGATTATAAGATATTTAACTAACGCACTTGTTTAGTAACGCAATAAGTATGCTAAGGATCGCGAAGACACGAAGAGAGATCTGAGATCTGAGTGTCTACTAGTCTAACCACAAAGGATATAACATACGACATAATCGACTTGCATTATTTGTTTGACGACACTATCGTATCTACTCCGTGTTCAAGGGGAGAATA